GTTTAAAGGTGAGATGGTCCTTCCTTTAGGGTTCCTATTTCATGAAAGAGTCTGGCAGACAGTCTGCAGAAGAAAGTGACTGACAAACTGCCAATAAAGGTGGAACTGTCTTTGAAATTTCCTGCTTCATGGAAAAGTCTTCTGGATACTATGGGCCTGCAGGCTGAAGACAGATGCCCTAATGTTACAAGGCATTGATGTCTTGGCAGCAAAATGTCTCTATCAATTCTAGAGTTTGGGAAGTTGCTTAAAATGCACCTCCTGTTAACTTAGGTAGTATTAAATCTTCTGGAATCTTTGATGGAGTTGAAGAATAGATAGTAATAGTTACAGTTTTCTTTAACTATGGTAAAAATAAATTAGATATAAAACCTAAGACTCACAAAGATAGGATAGATGATAGAGTATTTTCCTTAATTGTGAAATGTAAATGGACTAAATAATGTAACTAAAATTGTTTCTTGATAACTGCTGTTTTGTTATATGTAATTTTACTATGTTAAAGTTAAAACTGTCCTTTTTAATCTAGACAAAAAAGGGGAGGTGATGTGGGATGTCCTTCTGTATGCTGTATGTAAATTGTCGAGAGCATGAGAAAAGCATCAGCTCTTGTGTCCTTTCATTTCTTCTTTCCAGTGTTCCAATTGGATCAAAACCAAAAAAGCCTAGAAGGATCTAGAATTGAGGATATTGTCTGAACTGGAAAAACTGAAGCTCATCAGCTTCCAATCTGTCTTGGTAATGTCACACAGGCACAAAGAATTCTTGGGAGGAATAATATTTATTGTCATGCTGTCTTCTGCCAAGACCCCAGGCAAAATTCCAAAGGACACAGAATGTCTTTGCCAGGATCTCTTCCTTTCTAATGCTCTGTGCCCTCCATGCAGAGAAGTTTTTGTAGGAACATGTCTCTCCAAATTTCTTCATCTTGGACTGCCCCCTCTGAGTATCCCTCACAACCTTATTACTGCAGAGTTAATTTAATTTATACTAATATGTGAATGACTGCTAACATTCCTACAACATTATTAAATAAAACTATTCCCTTTCAAATAGCTTCCACTGGTAGAGAAACAAGGTAACATTTTCCAGGGAAGAACTCCAGAAGGCTGTCCAGAATAAGATGGCTAAGCAGAATAAGAGCTCACTGAGCAAACCTGACCTAAACTCAAACCCAAAGAAAGACTGAAGAGGAGAATCAACTCCACAAAGATGTCTTCTGATCTTCACGCGGTGCCACGGTTCATACAACACCCCGCCGTACACACAAATCACACACAGAGCGATAATAATGATAAATAAATTAAAATTTAAAGAACTCTATAAATTCACCCTATTAATGTCCTACTTGGCCACAATGTGACCTGTTGAACAGTTCCTCTACCTTGAAATAGCATGGCTTCCTAGTGAGTTCTAGTAGTTTCTAGAATTCTACTTCCTCCGACTTCTCTGCTAACAAGTCCCCATGCTCTCAGTTCTTTGTAATAAGTTGGATGCACCTGTTCATGGTATCCTATGCTTCCCAGCAAGGCAATGCCACACATAGAATCACAATTTTGGAATTTGTCTATTTGTTCCCTGTTAGGCCTCACAAATCTGAGGGCAGGATATCTGCCTGAGTCCTGCCAACCACAGTAAGCTATAGCCTAAAGAAGGTATGCAATGGGGGAAACTCAGTCACATAAAAGTTATACACACAAAATATATATAAATTATATGCATTTATGTTTGTGTATGTGTGCATATAAGTACATCTCATCAGGGAGGTAGAAATCTCAGCTATGTCTACCCAAAAACAAACAAACAAACAAAAACAAAACAAAACAAAAGGAGCAGCCATGGGGTCCTCTGTGCTCTTGACTTGAAGCTTGGTCTTTCCAAGCTCTTGGTTTTCCAGTATAAAGAAAACCCTAGGGAAGGGTTTTTTTTGTTTGTTTGTTTGTTTGTTTTGGTTTTGTTTTTAAAGTTAAGTTCACTGATCAGGAAATCTGGACTGTTTCACTAATGCAAATTCTACAATCCCTTTAGGTCGTTCTTGAAAAAAAAAATCACTCAATTCAGATTTCTTTGCAAGAGGTTTCTCATCCCTACTGTGACCATTCTTGGCATGATCACCTCCATGTCACACAGTATTCTCAAAGTCCCAAGGATGGACCATGCTAATGGCTACCAGGTAGAGAAAGCCTGCTCTATCAAATTGAGTTTCAAAACAATATAATGAACAGTGTACATCCTGATCATGACCATGACAGAGCCGAGGAGATCATGAAAATCAGAACTACAGTGTGATCGCATTTTAAAGGAAAAGTCCCAGCACTGTTCGTGGGAGAAAGAACTGCATCAGAAAACAAATTCCCACACAACTGAAAATCTAGAACTTAAGAGGCCATCACATATAAACAGCAAATTCCAAATGAGCAATATGATTTGCGACTTCATGGTTGTATGTTTAGTTTAATGTGTATCAAGTATGCTTTGATTCCCATGTCTATGTGTGTTTTTCTTTCTCACAAAAAAGTTCTCCACCTCTGTTCTTTTGGTCCCCAGAAGGAGCTTTTTGAGGGAGGTAATAAAAACATTTCTGCCCTCATTTGATTCTTCCCATCAGTTAAAGAAGGAACATCTAGAAAGCAAAAGTGGCCGGGTGGTGGTGGCACAAGCTTCTAATCCCAGCATTCAAGATAGAGCCAGGTGTATCTCTGTAAATTGGAGGCCAGACTGGTCTACAGAGCTAGTTCCAGGATAGCCAGGACTACACAGAGAATGTTTGTCTTGAAAAACAAAACAAAAACAAAAACTAGAAAGTGAAAGTGGATAAGTTTTACCATTAAATATCACTATTGAGAGAGAGAGAAAGGTAGAAGTAAACTTGGAAGTAATGCGTGAAGGTGCAGGCCTAAAATCCTAGACAGGGTTTCTCTGTTTAATCATGGTTGTCCTGGAACTCACTCTGTAGACCAGGCTGGCCTCAAACTCAGACCTCAGAGATCCGTCTGCCTCTGCCTTCCAAGTGTTGGGATTAAAGGCGTGAGCCACCACTGTCCGGGCAGCAAGCTGAATTCTTTTCATACAAATCTGACTTCCAAAAATGTACTGTCATTAGGTGTGATGGTCACTCCTGTGATTCCAGCACTCAAGAGACAGAGGCAGGAGGGGGATGGAGTTAAAGACCAGCCTCAGTTATACAGTGAGTTCCTAAGCTACAAGAGATCCTGCCAAAAGAAAGGGAAACCCCATTGCCTTGTTACTTAATGCTGTAAGCAGGACTCATAGCTCAAAGCGTCTGCTTAAACATTGCATCTGTCCTTTAAATGCTTCCCAGCTTGTAAATGCGATGTTTAGGCTTGTTATTCTGTGCTTTATGATAACGGAACCAAAACGCAGTACTTTACACCATCCACTCTCACCCCCATCCCATGACTTCCATCCTCTCGGCCACATCTCACTGAAGTTGTCCTGAAGACCAAATCAGCCCTAGCTTGTCTTTTGGTGCAACTTCACTTTGCCTCCTGGGATATTAGGAACAATCATTGAGCTGGGCTCCTGCTCCTTTCATCGTGGACTAAGAGTGTGTTCTGCTCACCGTGATCCTTCTCGCCACACTGAGCATCCCATAAGGCTAGCCACCAATGCAACACGTGACTGTCCCTCTCCATTTCTGATCCCCATCAATGGGACCGTCAGAGCAGGTGGCTGGGACACGTGTTTGAGACAAGCCTTCCTTGCCTATCCTTACAAAAGCAATGTATGCTATCAGGCAGGTGATCTCAGCGGCCTCCCTACCTGCAAGATAACAGGTGGACGATAATAAACCTTCATTTCCTTTTTACTGTATCTACTTTTGCAAGCACCGACCCTTGAACTTGCTTCCATTAGGCATTATCACCTTCCCTTGAGGCTACAGAGCACCCCTGGAGCTGGGGCCACCCACGGGTATTTTCCCTTGCGGTGCTACGGTAGCAGTCCTGGCCAGCTGCCTGTTCTTGCCAGGGCTCTTTAACTGGGCTTCTCCAGGCCCTTTCTTTCAGCCTGAGATGTTCATTTTCCTAGGAGTAACCCAGCCCCTCTGCCACCAAACAGACATACTTAACTAAGCCAAAACACTTGGAGCTACAGACAGTACTCTTCTGTGAAAATGCACTTTCTGGTACTTGTTCAAACCCCGTTCCTTCGTGTTATCATGTCCCACAGGGCAACTGTGAGAACTTGTAGCCTGGTCTCACGTGTAAAAATTTCTTTCTGGGCGCTGAAATGCAACTTCCTCCTGTCCTTTCCCAAACAGGTCCACTCGGACTTTCTAGAAGGATCTACCTTCCTTTCTTTTGGATCAATAACTCAAACTAGTCATACCACAGATCCCAAAAGGTCCAATGATCCTGTTTGTTCAGCACTCCATTATCCCGGAATACTTACGCTTAGGAAACCTGTCTCATGTGAATAGGCACCTGTTTTGTGTTTACCACCCTCCCCCCACTTAGGTTCGTTGTTATTGGCACACTTCCTCAGTAGCAGGGAACCAACAGAGATCAGCAGGACCTGACTTTCCCTCCTCCCTTGGGAATAGCCACCTACTCCTCTTGAAGTTTCTCAAAACCCAGAAAAAGTAAAGAAAAAGAAAACAGAAGGTTGGAAATAAGGCAGATGTAACCCAACCTTTTGGTATTCTACAAACCCAAACACTAGTAGAGGCATTCAGATTTCCCCGGGGTCACCAAAAGCAAGTACCCATTGCCCCGAACCTGACAATCAAGCCCATATACCACAAAGTGCCATATGTCAAGTTATGAATTGTCTAGAAACACACACTCACGGAGTGGCTATTAGTGACGCCAGGACAGAAAGAATACACAGATAAGGTAGAAAACAGAAGAGAGTCCCAGACATCCCAAATACCCTGGCTTCTCAATTGTCACCAAGACAACTGCCAAGTTGCTGCAGAAGCGCCAGGCCTGGTCCCCACCTGCCGTGTCCCCAAGGCTGCCCAGTAGGCGCCTCCTTACCTTGCGCGAGTACGGGGGCTTGCTCAGGTGGATACCATCGCGGACCAGTTTATCCCGGATCATGATCTTCAGCTTCAGCTTGGGGTAGCTCACCAGCTCTCTGCTGCGGGGAGCGCTCGTCTGGCCACGGGGATCCCCGCGAGTGCCCTGGGCCGAGCCACCACATGACTCCCCCCGGCGACCTGGTGGCACCGAGTCCACCTGCGGTGCGGGTGGCACCGGCTGAGGTTCCAGCGTGAAGTAGAGGCCGGCGGCGGCCGCGTCCTGCTCCCGCAGTCGGCGCACAGCCTCCAGGATGCGCCGGCGGTGCGCTGGAGCCAGTACCCCGATGGCGTCCAGGTCCGGGTCTCCGATCTGCTTGCACACTTCCAGGTCATCGTAGCCATTATCCACGAAGGACTCAGCGTACTGCGGGAGCTGTAACGCTTTCAGCCACTCGTAAACTATGTTGGTGCACATGGCTGAGACTGGGAACTCACCGGCGAGTACCCAAGTGACACTGGCGGTACCAGTTCTTGGAACTTTTAATCCTCTCCTGGAAGGGGGTGGGGGAGAAGAAACGGCTGGAAAAGTTTCTCCGTTAGTGGATAGGATCCAGCCTCAGAGCAAATGCCATGGGAAGCAGCCTGGGAGAGCGCGAGCTTGAGCGAGAAGCGTCTAGCAGCGAAGTGGATTCCCCGAGCAGGCGCGGCGCTCGCGGGCTCAGGCGGCTGGGCGAGCCGCTCGGTTCCGCGCCGCCCCTGGACGCGCGGCCTCCGCGGGGAGGGGCGCGCGGGCGGGGCCGGGCACACCCCTCGCACCCGCGCGGGTCACCGTCGCGCCGCGCCGGCCAGGAGTTTACCCAGCCGGGACAGTCCGGGGGCTGCGCGCTGCATGTCGTTTCTGGCCGCCGCCGCGGGCGTCAGCACCCACGTTCCAAGCAAGGGAGGCGGCTCGGACTGGCAGACCCGCGGATGCGGGCGAGCGCCTGGTCTGCGCGCGTGTCAGTCACTGTCGTTCCTGGGGTCACAATGACCCGGCGGCTTTTAAGCTTCCGGACTCTGGTGGCTACCCTTGATATCTTTCGATATTTTTGTTGAATCCGACTTCTCTGAATCCTTGGATTTCTCTTCGCTCAGTTCCCAAGCTTATAGTGACTCTCGCTGGCGTGTCCAAGGGCAAGTCCCCACCACCCCACTGGGCTGAGCGAAGCTGTGAAGTCCAGGGTTCCTTCTCCTTTCTCGATGCACGTAGAATGTCTCTTCTAAGGAGCAGCTGCCAGGCTCGAGTAGCACGGTGTGTCTACCTCTGTGATCCTGCGCTCTGTGCTTAGAGCAGCAGCGTTTTGGCAGCAGGGTGGGCGCAACGTGGGGACCGTCCAGCCCGATGGGCGTGCGGCCCCTCCTCGCTACAGCTAGTCACGCGTGTGGGCCTCAGGAGGGGCACTCCTGCTCCTGATTGACTTGCCCTTCCAGGACCATCAGATCTGAGAAAGTTTGGGATGGGTTTTTACTTTCTCCTGGACCAGCGTGGCCCTACCTGGTCCATATACCCCCCATCAATTCCCACCCCCCATCCTGACACACACACACCGTGTTGTGTCAGACCCCCTCAATCTTGCCTGCTTTTTGCCTTTTCTCCACCTCTCATCACAATCAATCATTCTGCCCCGGGTGGGCGGCTGTGTGCCCAGGGACACGTGAGGTTTACAGCCTCAGAGGCAGGGATCACAGCAGACTGTCCCTCTCCTGCCCCAGGATCGCCTGCTAATCGATACACCACCATGCAGTTTGCTTTAAAAAGAACGCTAGGGCATCTAGCACTTTCTGTCTAGATGAGAGTAACCAAATCAACAGAGATTCCTCCTGGTGCCAACGTCCCAACTTTGAAGGTGTGGGGCGTGTGACCCGAGCTCCTGCACAGCCTTTCCCTGGGTCTGATCTTTTGGGGGATAAGATAAAACCTTAAGAAACCTTGCAGGTGGCAACAATTTCCTCCCTTTTCACAGAAGTAAAGACTCAGCTCACTCGACTCTTATCTTCTTCCTGAAGAAATCTCAATGGGGCCATGATTGTCACTTGCCATGACATAGATGGGTGGACACTAGTGGTTTTAGGGTCATGTCCCTATCCACAGGACTTCAAGTTGTGGAGAAGGGACTATGTCTCTCTTCCTCTAAACTGCCAGAGCCTAAACCCACTTGGAACAGGGACACTGAGAATCCGATGATATCTTTATGGCCTGGAAAATGCCTGATAGACCTGGATCCAAAATGCTCCTGTATTTCTACAGTTATAGGATGTGGGGGAGTGGGTGTCTGTGTTTCCAAGCTCCTAGACCCAAGAATCTCACTTTGAAAAATAGCTGCGGGTATTTTATTTGGGGAAAGAAGAGAGACAACGCAGGTAGTTATGAAGCTGCTCTGTCCCCAGCCCTAGATCACCCGAGTGGCCCTTTCCGGAGCCTGGATTAAGGTCCTCATCTTGTGCAAGACTGTGGGTAGCACAGACCCTCCCTGTCTAACACAGATCACAGCAAGCCCTCTATCCCTTGCCAAAGCAGGCTCACAGTGCCCCCTTGTGTACAAGTGCAGGAATTTTAAGGCGTTGCCCAAGTCCCAAACCTGTTTTGTTCACCAGAAGGAAGAGAGGGCTTTGTGATTCCTAGTGTCCTTAAAGTACAAATAATGTCCTCACAGACATTATATGACCACAATGCTTTGTCATGAAAACCTTTGAATTTCGGAGGGGGGAATATTTCAATAGGTTCAAAATAATTCTGCTACAAGGAAACAGAAGTTATCGGCAGATACTTGTTTGGAAGTTGTTATATGCCAGCATCTCCATGTATGACTAAACATATGTGGTAAATAATCGCATTATCCACTATCTTACAGAGAAAGTCAATACATCTCTGAAACGTTCACTCCCTGTTTGTTCACTCCAGAACCAAGGGGTAGAGAACTATGAAGAAAGAAACCCAGGGCCAGGCTTTCTGCTACTGGACTTTTAAAACCCCAGCAGCTGCTAGAGAAACACGCAGGAAATGTTGGGCTAGTTGTAACAGCTGCGTGTCTTATTTATTTTTGATGCTTGTTTTTTAAAAAGAGGAAGCTCAAAGCTCCTGAGTTTATTGCCGTGGTTTTTCTTTCCCAAGTTGCCTGAAAAGTCCAATAACATTACTTAATAGTCCTTTGCCTTCTCAAGCACAGACTCTTCCCCTCAGGGAGCCTAGGGGCATTCATTTTGTCTCATTAATCTTCAGCAAGCCAGTGAGTATTTTTATTTCCATTTTACAATTAGGGAAACTGTATTGGAGGAAGATGAATGGCTTGCCCAAGGTCATTTGGTAAATCAGGATAGAGACAAGAACAAGCCGGTCTTGTTGAAGCCTCTCCTCCTCCAGAGGCAGCAGGGATTGTCCCTTATTTATGTTCAGGGCACTGTCCAATTGGGAAATAAAGCATCCCTCTCGGGAGGGGATGGCTTTTATGAATTAATCATTTGTTAATCAGTCATAAATAAAATCTCTTGGCTTTTGACGTCTCGTTTTCCTCTTTGGCACACTTTTCCCGTGCTTGCTCAAGTCTCTATGTGAAGCTGAAGGACTTCTATGGCTCTGCTGCTGGCATAGCAAGGCTCTTAAGACACTTCCCTTATTTCTGAAGTCACAAATGCATAACTACTACAATATGCACTTGCCTCTACTTCCTGTGGAGGTACCTGGCTATAGTCCAGAATGGAAAGGCAAAACAAGAATGGGGTGGGGGTGAGTCGATGGTTCCGTGGACAGAGTAACTTGCTGCATGTTCTGATCCCGAGTCCAAATCCTTCTGCATCTAACTAAGAAGAGTTCGGCTAGGTACAGGGGCATGGGTCTGTAATGCCAGTGCTGGGGGAGGGGGAGGAGTCAGAAACAGGTAGAACCCAGGGTTGGGGAGGTCCGGGCTCACTGAGATACTGAGACCATTTCTCATAAAATAAGGTTGATAGTGATCTGGGAAGTTTTCAGAGGCTGACTTATGGCCTTAGACATACACACAGGAAATCACCACGTGCATACGCACACACACAGACACACATAAAGAAGTGACTAATTGTAAGATTTAGAAGCCATCAGGAGCTAAAAGCCCATTCCACAGCAATTGCAGCATCCATATTTGCACAGAGGAAGTAGAGTTCCAGAAAACCCAGGTTTCCTATTGAAGTTCACTTACATGATGGATCCCATTTCTCTTCACCCTGCCCTGGACTTCGTGCAACATTATCTCTTTTTATGTGGTTATTGTCAAAATCATATTTATTCATCAGTGTTTATTGAGTAGACAGTTCCAGACACCAAAGCAAAAACCAGTTTTCTCTTCATTAATGGGGACTGAAGAGGTTTAACTGGCAGGGTTTTCTGTTGTTACTGTTGTTGTTTTTTAATGTGCTCTCCCACCCAATTACTGACCACATCTAACCCATCTTAGCTTCCAAGATCAGACACACCCAGGGGCGTGTGGCTGGAGACCTGTGCTCTGTGAATTGTATCAACTTGACACAAGCTACAGTCATCAGAGAGGAAGGAGCCTCAGTTGAGGACACGCCTCCATGAGACTCAGCTGTAAGGTTTTTTTTCTCAGTGATCAATGAGGGGAGGCTCCAGCCCATTTGTGGGTGGTTCCATCCCTGGGCTGTTGGTCCTGGGTTCTATAAGAAAGCAGACTGACCAACCCATGTGAAACAAGTCAGTAAGCAGCACTCTCCCATGGCCTCTGCATCAGCTCCTGCCTCCGGGTTCTAACCCTGCTTGAGTTCCTGCCCTAATTTCCTCCAATGATAGACAGGAAGTAGAGGCCAAATAAACCTTTTCCTCCCCAACTTGCTTTTGGGTCATGGTGTTTTGCCACAGCGATGGAAACCATAACTAACACACACACTATTAACTAGATTTTGAAATTGGACCCTTGACATTCAGAGTCCCTCCCACTTCTCTAAGTGGCTGTCATGATCCTGGTCACCGCCTTGAAACACCAGGGTTATTTACCCCGCACATCTTTTCAAGTACCTTTAGTTTTTACAAGGTATTTTTGAGGGATGCTACTTTCTAGAGTTTTTCATTAAAGAAAATTAAAGAAAAAACCCAATATCGATTATTATTTAGTATATTGAGGTTTGGGTTCTTTCCATTTGATTGCTTCACTGATTTAACTAGGTTTTGTTTTATTTGCAGCAGTGACTCCGCTTTAAATGAGAATCACTGGGAAAATAGATTGTGGAGAAAGTTTCTATTTAAATACCATTTCAGAACTATTTTGCAATGATAATAACTATGGAACATGCAAAGTTAACACTGACATTCTCAGTGTAATTAATGATAATTAGATTCAGGTTTAAAAGTCTAAATATCAAAAAAAGCAGCTTTTCTGCTCAGTAACTCGATTCGAGGTTGCCAGATTAAAAAAAAATAATAATTTGTTTTGAAATTTTCCTGGTGTTACATAAGGTTCCATACTATTTTATTTAGAAGATAAATGTTCGTACCTAGTGTGTATAAAAATTAAATTTCATTAACATCTATTAAACGTCAGTTCCCTGGGTGTCTAGCCTTGTAAAAGTCCAGAATATATAATGTTAATCTTAAAATGCTAAATATGTCTTGCCTCTGCTTAAACCACAAGCAGAAAGCATCTAAAACGACCGTTTGCCAGAGGGAGAAAGAAGAATTACCGGCTTGAGTGATTTAACAGGTAATCTGTTCCTCAGTGGCTGGGAGTGAGGTGTGGGG